AGCGATGTTATCTCAAGACATCCGGTCAGAGGTTTGGGTCATGAGGTCAATGACAAAGTTGTATAAAGATATGAAACGATCATATTCTGGGTCTGTGTATGTATTGACTGAATTGCATATAATCTGCATATTTGGAGGCAATATGAAAATGAATGCGATTTTGAGTCAATCGTATCATTAATACCCGAATCCGTGCTATCGATAGATACGGTAATAAGACGTGGGCTTAACGTAAGGTCACTGACAGAGAGACTAATTATAGTGTTTTGTGTTGTGTTCACTATTTTTATTAAATACAATATTTGGGCTCTACTTTAAAAAGAGGGCCAAAACATGAGAATATGAACGAAAAACTTCACAGCAGTTGGGCATCAGATCTACTGAAAGGGCTTTTGTTAGGCATTGAAATTAATGATGTGATTCACGTTTGCATTTAAATGATAAAAACAGTCTCTCAATGCGATTCGTGTGACGCGTGTCCTCATAATTATGTAATATTACTGTGATTTGAGATACCATTACATTGTACTCAATACGAGTCGCTTTGCCTACGAAACGGCTTTAACTCTATTTAATGTATACTTCACTTCATTAGTGAACAACATTTAAGATTTCCTTTCCCTCGCAACTAATTATAAATATTTTTATTTCAAATTTAAAATTTTTACCCAAAAGTTTAAACTAATTACTAGTTTTAAGAGAAAAAGTAATTCAAATATTCGTATAAAACAAAAATCAACGCATAAGTGCTCAACAAATGTTAATCAAAGCCACAGCACTATAGATATGTTATGTCTTTTATTATGCGGTGATCTGCAAGAGTGAGTCAAACAATTAGACCATTAGATCTCCTCTGACCGGATGTCTTGAGATAACATCGCTTTATTCACTACCCATACATACACTACACACTTGTCTCCACTACCTCTCCATTACCTGTACTCCACTCACACGGGAATCACAACCGTATTTAAGGTGAACCACAACCACAACTACATTACACTCGGAATTAATTAACACTTTCTCTCATTTGCATTCATATTATAAGTAAATGAATACTCGTTTCAAGTTTTTGCTTTCTTTTATATTAAGACTTTATACTGAATATTATAAAAGAAATTTGTTTTAAGATTTAATTTTGGTTTTGTGGCAAAAAACCCAAAAAACAAGGAGAGAGGCCTCTCTCACAGACGAATGTTATTCACAAGAATTGAATATTTAAAGCGAATTCACTTAATATTCGTGAAATGTTAGGTATATTTCGGGCATATTTTGGGCATATTTTGGGCACATTTAAGGCATATTTAAGGCGTTGTTTTAATGGTTGTAATGATAGCAATGATGTTATGATTCCTACGCTAATTAGCGGCTCTCGGAGTCAGAAACTTATAGACTTTGCGGTCATTTTGTTTTATTACAAAAACAAAAGAAAGGTATGGCTGTAGAGATGAAGGCACGACAGGCCCACCACTCGCTATGTTTTATTGATAGTCCAAGACTTTGGCAAAGAATGTAGTGATGGTCTGCCTGTAGGTGATTGAGGCGAAGGCACGTGGCTTCAGGACAACCAAAGGCAGGCATCGCTTCTACACCTCAACTCAACCCAACTCTTTGGAGCGCCTATTCTTATGGCCTTTTAGTGACTTTAGTGACTGGCCTTCGCTCCGAAACACCAAATAAATCACTGAATGCTTTGACTCAAGACTTTAAAGCATATAATTTTCATTTTCAAAGATCTGTTTATCTGAACAAACGAACAAATGTTTTGCAAACGAAACACAAAATAATAAAAACCATTTGAAAGTAGATTTTCTCTTAAATGCATTTCTTTTCGCTTTTCAAATGTCTTTTGCGGTCAAAAGTGTTAAACGGAATAAAAGGCTAATTCTTGGAGTCAAACAAAATGTTAAATAATTGAATGACTATTCAAATGGAAATTTCTATGGCTTTGATTTTCTAGAAAATTCTCTCATTTAAATACCAAGAAAATTGTAATAATTGGTAGCATTTTCGACTATTTTTGAATTGTATCTTATCTGCAAATCTTTTTACAATAATTTTACTTTTAAGGATTTTTTCTAATTTCAAATAAAACTGAGAATAAATGTCAGAATTTGTACGATTCAGTGGTTTTTGGCGTAAATATTGTCGTTAATAATGAAAACTTAAAATAATATATTGTAGATCTCGATTCAAAATAAACATTAATTATTTTATTGTTTATGGGTATTTGACTTTGCCTTTGAATAAACAAATAATTAAATAAAATCTTTGGTAATTTTATTACAATGTTTCAGTTTTATAATAGTCTCGTTGTGAAATAATTTTCAAGTTTATTACTATTCATGTGTTGTATGTTATGAATAATTGAATATTTAGAAACTTAATTTAAAAACTTTTGACAATAGCATAAGTTTTAGTGATTTCCAAAAGCAAATATAATATAATTAATAAACTGACAGAGAAATGCAATTTATGAAATGAAATCAACAAAATTCATTGAATACTTGACGAAGTTGTGCAGTCATTGAATGATAGTCAGTGAACACCATTACTATATCACTGTATGGCCTAACATGGGATCAGTTGGTGATTCATCTCTTCTGTGATGCCTTTCCCGCAGCAGTGATGCAGTGCTTGTGATTCGATGGCTCGTCGGGTGACTAAGACTTGCGGTTTTGAGACTCCGATGCTATACATTAGGATAGCGTACAAATCGCACGGAAAAGGTTATACTATTTGAACGACTATTTTGAAGAATATAATACATTTTGTTAGCAAAATATTGTGATTATTAGATATGCATAAAAGGTTCCTAAAAGAGTCAAAATAGGGACAAAAAATTGATTGATGTGTTGATAATACACGTCAAAAGTGCTACCTTTGACTCGATGTCACAACAAAAATGACATTTTGTTTAACGAATGGAGAGAACAGTATTTTTTGGTAGAAAAAGTGAATTCAATAAAACGGAATCAAATAAAAGCTGAATTCCTGTTGAGGACAACAAACAATATATTGGAAACGGGGATCATTTTTATGACACATGTGTTTATTTTTAGGCATAACTTATAAAAGATGTCATTGAAAGACAGTGTTTAAAAAGTGTTTGAAAAAAGTGAGAAGACTTGCAGTTATAAAAGAAAGTAATAGAAGTAATACTCATATAATATAAAGTGAGGCATCAAAGCATCAAAAGGATCAAAACATATGTGCTTTTGAGCACAAAAGCAGTCAATGCTTTGCACAGTATTTCCAGTGTTTGACAGAAATTGCATTCAGACTATGGAATCAATTCAATATATGACTGGCTCTACAGAATACAGAATTTCTCTCTCTCTCTCTCTCTCTAACTTTACAAAACTAAAGCATTGTATGCATTGAAGCGCACAAAAGGGGGAGGGGTTGGCACAATGCAAGACTTGGACATGCCTTGGACTAGATTAGACCATTTTGTATGACATTCACTCACTCATACAGTTTGGTCCCTCCGTTACAGCTCTATTAGTGACTAAAAACTATTCTGACTTTAAATCAAAAAATTGGTCGAACCCTACATTTGTCACATACAGTAAGACAGGACAGACACGCGACTATCAGTTCTCCACTACAATACAATTACTGCATATCTAATCAAACAAAACACTCACACAATGAGAACAATACTGAAAGTGTACTCTATTTTCACCCAATTATAAAGTTTCCCATCACTTCACTACCAAATGCTAAACTAATACTGTGCTAATACTTATGTAATACTAATTCCCTTTCATTTCTTAAACTTTGTATTTTAATCTTTAAATTATTAGTTTTTATTAAACAGATTTAAATAATGTTTAGTTTATAATTATGCAATTTTGTTAATTTGTTAATTAAGTCATAGTGAGAAGCTCACATTAATAATAAAATCAATTTAATTATTATGATGTTTGAATAATTGTTTAGTAATTTCAATGAAATAAATTAGTTGATAATAATATATATTATACATTATATACAAGGAGATTGCTATCACAAGATTGTGAAATGATATTTAAATTAAAGAAATATATTCAGTATACAGGTATAGTGGTAATAATATCGTGATGTTTGTGGATAAAGTTTGTATTGATATTATATAACATACACTATGTTTGGACAGAAGTGGTAGAAATGTTAGAAACAAATGAATTAATGAAATCTAATATATTATAATCGCTATAAATATAGTGTTTGGTGTGTTATTGCAGACCACAAATCATTGATAAGTTGTAGAGTGAGATGTTTGTCTCTCACCATTATATTCATTATATTAAATAATAATAATTTAATGGTGAGAGTGGAGAGTGAGTTAGAGTCGGATGCGTGAAGTGAGTGCGAGAGACGGCAAACAGTGAATCAGTCAAAACAGGTGTACAATCACTGCAATCACATAACGCTTGCGGCGAATGCGAGAGAATTAGTGACTTGTGTTCAGTACTCAGTGTTAGGCTGTTGTCAGTGTTGTATATGTTGTCAAACGTTCACATTATCGCTACTACTCCGAGAAGTTGTGTTAAAAAAGCTTTAGTTCTTGAGTTAACTATTGCTTCGTAAGACTGTGCGAGAGAGTAGTGAGCACTGGAGGACTGGGAGGACTGGGATGACTGGAGGACTGGTGTGTTGTGTGCAAACAGAACTCTTGTCAAACAAGAGGTAATCAATTGTGAAGCAAACATTAGGCATTACTTTAAGGCTTAGTATCTCAAGTATCAACAAATACACACCATTTCATAGGATTCATGCCATAAGATTGACAATCTTCGGCACCGCATGCGCTGCGTTGGCATCATTGGCATCACACTAAACCAGGCAAACCAGGAGCACCACATACCCGCCCCATTTGGCCCTCAGGTCCAATCCGCACAACCAATATATGGGTTATCGTGGGTTTGGGGTAATCCTGTTCCGCGAAGTGGTAACTGCTGATGAAGTGGTGGTCCAATGGGAAGCCAGTCTAAGAGCTTGCACTTTGGTAGTGGTGGCAATAGTGGCAACTTTTTGCGGCCGACCGTCTCAAACCCACAAACTGATAGATTTTTCTTTGACAGACACACAGCCTCTTTGTCACAACACAAGACATCTTTGCATTCAAAGCCATGTCTGCATAGAATCGACTGAATAAACCATTTGTGTAAATAAGTGAACACTAAAAGTGCTTCAATTCACTCAATACTTGTGCTCAAAGACACGATAACCACCGCAACAACACCTCAAACAATGCTACCCTTCGAGACGCCCACTATCTTCGAGCAATTGCCGCGGTTTATATTCAAAATGCCCAGGGTGGTCACCGAACAGAAGTCCAAGTTCGAGGCCGACGAGCTCTTCAGACGCCTTTCCCGCGAGACTGAGGTGTGTGTCCTCTCTATCCATCCTTTCCATCACTTCTCCACCAATTCTGTGATTCTGTGATGCATTCAATGCTTATTCTGCTGTATTTCAGGTGAGATATACTGGATATCGGGACCGACCTCTGGAAGAGCGACAGATTAGGTTTCAAAACGGTTGCCGAGAAGGACATACAGAAGCGGTGAGTGTTTGCGGTTTTATCTCAATCTCTCTTCATTCAAGACATTGTTTACTGTTTTAATGTTTACTGGAATTCGACTCAATATTAAACACTGAATTGTTTTGCAAACAACTCATTCCTATAGACAATGAATGCAGACATTTAAACATAACTCTGCGATATATGAGACCTACTATTAATAACTTAAACGCAATTTGCAATTATTTGTTTGCCGTATTCACTGCGGTGTTAGTGGAGGTAATAGTATAGTAGTAGTGGTTTGGCTCATCCATATCCTTCATATCCTAATAAGTGAGGGCAAGCCTTCGAGTGTATCATATTTTAATCATAATTGCAATGTATTGGAGTAGAATTCTGTGCACAAATGTTTTGTTTCTCAACTGTTTTATTAGCAAAAAATGTTTTAAAGTAGGAGAGAGAGAGAGAGAGAGAGAGAGAGAGAGAGAGAGAGAGAGAGCACTATGTATTTCCTGCCAGTAATGCCTTCCCTCATGAGTAATGTGTGGCTAAAAAAGAAATTAAAGCAAAGAATAACTCGTTAGCGTGTAGTGGAGTGTAAGGTAAGGCGCGTGGGTTAGGGTTAGTGTTAGGGTTAGGCCACAATTATATCGGACTCGAGCGCACAAAACAAAAGCATTTGACTTATTGCCGGCGCTACAGCTCCGCAGTACTACCTGTGATGATAGATCTTAGAGCACTGGTACCTCTTTTGCCAGCCTTAACCATATGAATAGTGTATTACAACTGATGAGTGTTAGCGAAAGGCAGACAAAACAGTAATAAATAATATCTTGTGTTGTGTTGTGTTAGTGCTTAGCCTTAAATGTTTGCTTTAATTTGGTTTTGATTCTCATTTGTGTGTTTCAGGCCTTTATAGCGACGGGAACTAACTTACAACTTGTGTTCAGTCCCTGTGCTAATGGCTATAGTGAAGGCTGTGATTTCGACAAAGAACAGGGAAAGGTAAGTCATTTTGCACATTACATACCATTCCATACTATTCCATACCATTCCATACCATTCCGCTATATTCTCCACACAATAGCCTTTCATTTCAATGATTACAGTTATTATTGAGTTCTTAAACAAAGTGAACAAAACTTATAATTTCATTCAATATGCGTTCAATGAGTACATCAGGTGTAGAGCTATTATAACGATGGCATCAATTATCTAACAGCTCTTTAATGCAAATTATAATCTTTGCGATCATTTAAAATAAATTCTTTGATTCACTGCTTGTCTTGTGTTTCAAGTTGTGTCTCATTAATTAGTTTGTATGCAAACGGCATTTGAAAGCACCAGAGGTTTGAGCAAATATTTTACAGCCACTGCACAATCACTTATTAGTTATAACTAATGATCAAATACCGATTGTAAGCATATGTATGGTTTAGAGCCAAATATTAAGCATTATTCTTGTGTTCAGTCGACCTGACACTCACTCTAAGCAATGCATCCAACGCTTCATAATATTCCTCATAATATGCCTCATAATATGCCTCATATTATGCCTCATATTATGCCTGAGTGCTAGAAATACAGGTTATGTTGTATTTTATTTGAATACAGTATCTGTTCTCAAATATTAATGTAAAACAAAACAAGAATTAATGATTAAATTCAGTGATTATCAGTCAATATATCGTTATTGAGACTGAATTATGAAATGAGTTAAATGTATCTTATCTGAAGGCAAACGCACTATCAATCAAGTAATGTATTATTGATAACAACAAGCAATACAAATTAATGAATACTTAAAACTCATTGACAAAAATAATAATAATATCCGTTTTGATGGGCTTTCGAGATATAATTTGCAGTTAAAAGCGATGTCTTGAGTGTTCAGTAGTTTATTGTTATATAATATACAGACTATTCGGACACGTATTGTAATATCAATAGTGCGTAAACGGCACTCATTAGCACTGAATGCACTGTACGTTGAGATTTAGAAACAAAAAGGAAAGAGAGCCGAGGCCGGGGTCTCATCCATGTGAAAAACAGGTGGCATACATGGCATGGATGAGACCAATATATTTAACTGCCATAACTCCAAGTAATTGCATAATTTGTTGTGTGAGTCGGGACTGGACTCGAAAATAATATGCACTCATTCACAGCATTTATCCAAAGATTAGTCTCGTTTTGAATGAATCCATCAGTGGATATAAGGGCTATAATTAAGTTCAAGCCCTAAAACATTCTTTGTTAGACTCTTAGTCCAACATATTTGTAATACCAGTCCATTGTGTGCTGTGATTATCATTTACTCTATGTGTTGTTGTTTTGTCATATATTTTCTCAAATATGAGATACTCTCACATCTAAATTGTCATCAAAACAATAAACAATTATTAATATAATACTCGGCTATAAAAGATGTGCAAAACATTTTCATATGCTATGTAATGCTCTCTCTCTCTCTCTCTCTCTCTCTCTTTCTCTCTCTCTCTCTCTCTCTCTCTTAAGGTTTAGTCGCTTTTAACTTCTCATCAGTTATAAGTGAGTTAAAAGTATTTCTAACTATAAAGTGTTCAGTTCTGCAAAACTGGCATTTATTGCAATATTCCCGGCGCTCTTCAGTCCAATAAAGGCTGGGCCGCCATATATGCCATAATGTGGATGTTCTGCAGATGCTATGATTGCTATGATATGCTATGCTATGCATTGCGACGGCGGCACAACTCTATTGGACTGGACAGCGCCGGGAGGAATGCAATAAATGCCAGTGTGTAGGAGTGATCAGTTTATAGTTAGAGAAATACTTTTAACTCATTTAAGTGATGAGCAGTTAAAACGACTAAATGTTCGATAGAGAGAGAGAGAGAGAGAGAGAGAGAGAGAGAGAGAGAGAGAGAAGTGGTGGTGTTTTGCATTTATTCAAATAGAGTGAATGCATACAAATAAGTATTAGTTGTTTTTGAGGACAATTATATGAATTTTGAAGCGTATCTCATATAACGTATACTCATATGTATAACAATGAACATCAGTTCACATCCGAATCCCTGTCCCTGCAATCAAATAGACATTAGAGTGTTTGGTGTAAATGGTATGCCATCCCATTGACCCTCTTGTCCTCCGCTCCAAAAAACAGACTCCAATCCGCTGTGAAGTGTCTTTTGATTCATTTCACTCGTTTGAGTCATTTTTTGGATGTTTGGCAGCACTTAATGCCCGAAGACTTCCATTAATTTCGAGTAAACGCGTGTCAGAGCATTGCCTATACTTTCTATATATTAGCAGACATTGTGAGAGCACAGCATCCCTTGTAATGGAGAGTAGAAATAAAATATTGAGTATCCATAGCGACAAATCCCAGGCCAGTTAGGAACTGATTGTGTGATATGTTTGGGCGTTTCCGAGCAAAGAGATGCAAATTCTTATGTAATATATGCCATACTTTGCTCACTAACCAGAGTTAGGTATGCGTTAGACTACAGATTCACACAATACTCAGTCATTTCTTTTATATTTCGCAAAAACCATTTCCGATGCATTACGGATCTCTCATCTGACATTTCATTTCATCAAATATTCGTAATAAATATTATTTATTTATTGTGTACTTAATGTACCTCTACTACTGTACTGTGATGTATGAACTGGTAGTGCTTTGGAACCGGTAGGTAATAACTAGGATAATATGATTATATAATGCAAATACATTCACAGAATTATAAATATGTGAATCCATTATAATTGAAAGCATTCGTTACATCTTATTTCCTTACAACTGTTTGTAACAAGATTTTTGTTTGTCATATATTTTGACAAATATTTTAACTCTATTTTCAGTTTATTTTGCAATATTTGTAAACTTCTCAACAAAACATTCAATAAATATGATTATAACTAGAGATGAAAAACAATATTTTATGGACTCATAAAAGAAATTTAATTTTTTCAAACTCTTGTTTCGATATACTGTACGTATTGTTGAAAAGTTTGATTCAATAAACGTTTGCATTGATGTAATGTCACAGATTTGGCCAATTTTTGTGTACATTGAGAGCCATCAACAGCAAAGAGGTTTTGATTCGCGAAATAAGAAAAAGCAAAACATAGTTATAGTAATCGTTAGGCAGAGGAGAGAGAGTGGAGTGAAGTAGAGATCAATAAAATTAGTTGAAAAGCCGCTCAACAAAAGGCAAAATATTGGACAAAACTATTCGCTATTAAATGAATGAACAGAAAGAGAGGTCTCATCTTATATGAAGCCATTTGGATGATTGTGTGCTCGTATTCCTCCGGTACTGCTGTTGTCATGACAATCAAGTCGTTCTTGGAGTGGTATATCCGCGAAGCCCTCCACAACCTCCACAACCTCCACACAAGTGCGGCAAATGGCAAATGCCTTATGCCTTATGCGGTGCTCTTAAGAATCAAATGCACGATCAGATAGAAGCCAATAATGCATTCATTGCTTCATTCCTTAGTTCATAAACTCTTAACGTTATAATTATTGCACACTTTTGAAAAGTTTTATTTTCATATCCATTGCACACAAGAATAGTTTTTGTCATAATTAGCTATTTCTTTTCGTTTCACTTAACGATGCCATCAATGCATCAGTGATTGACTTAATACAGATAACACGCGACTCAAACACACATATTATATAAATAAATGTGTTTTTCGGCACAACATTAGACTCATTGAAATAAACATGAAAATGCTTTTGTCATTCCAAACAAAGGATTCCTATTTTCAAATCATTTCTTAATACCATTTTGTGGTTCCTATTGTTTCATTCAATCCAATCGTTTGTTTTTCAATTCAATTGCTTTGCTTTTAAATACTCAATCGTTTTGTTGCTATTCTTAATTCTTTCATTTACCGTAAACTTGAATCAAAAAGTATTATTTATACATTATAAATGGTTATATGCAACCTTTTTGACCAATTATTTTGATCTTCCTATTCAAACCACATAAATATGATTTTATAATTCAAAATTGTGAATTATCCTATTTATATATATAATTTATTTTACTTATATTGAGATATACTTATAGATTTACTTATATATACAATTACTTTATATTGAGAAATACATTTGGACTATAATATGGCAAACAGAGACAGTCTACCAATGAAATGGTTGACAAAACTTAAATAATATTATTTAGTATTCAAAATCAATGCTCACTCTTAGGAAGTAATTTCTCAAATAATTGACTAAAAGAGAGGAATTATTAACGAAAACTGTTAGCAATAGAAAGTAAACTGAAAACAACAAAAACTTAATCATAAGGTTTACAACGACTGAAACGTATAAAATACTACTTAAACAGAAGTAAGGCTTAGATAATGATGAGAAGATCATAAGCCGTATCCGCACCACTAAATTGTGACATCAGATTGAACTCAGTCTCCATTATATTAACTGCATTTCACTTCAGACTTCAATTCTTGTCATATAATAGTACTGAGTATTGCATTGATTTTCATGAAACAAGAGATCAAGACTTTTCAACCAAACATTGCCTCTCATTGAGTCTCATTCACTCACTTTCTCTATCCGTACAGAATTCCATGCGCTTTATGTTCACTACACTTAACATACTTTTAGTTTTCACTTTTAGTTATATATATTGTTTGTCTCATTGAAAACATTTCGTTATGTAATATAAATGTACAGTGAATTCAATTAATTCTGTTTAATAATACTTTGGGAACAAATGAAATCTGCAAAGGAATGATGTTTTGCACTTACATTACATAAGAGTTGCATTACATTTGTATTTCTCAACATATCAATCATTACTTAAAAGAGTATTTCGTTCAATCAATTATAGACTATTATATAAATACACATTAGTATAAGATGTGGTTTTATTCATAAATTATAATCAGTTTTGAGATATGAATAAAATTATAGCATCAGATTTTGCATTAGATTTTGCATTCATAGTGAATAAATTAAATAATTTTAATGTTTTATTATTTTTTATTTCAATTATTATTCATATAGAATAAGTTGTGGTGGAGACCACATATTTTTTATATTTTACGGATTAAGTATTGAAAGCAATGTGCTGTATAAATCACGATTAGGCCAAACACTAGATTTTGATTAGTTTATAGAGTGAAAGGGCATATTGTGCTCAATAATAATATTGGCAAATATTGTGATTGATTTAAATTAAGAGAGTGTTTATTGTACGACAGGTGCACATCAAGTCAACAATGATTATGAATGGAGTGTGTGTACGATGGCGGGGATGGCTAGACCTGGAAAGGCTGGACGGAGTGGCCTGTCTTGAGTACGACGAGGAGAGGGGAGCCATTGAAGACTCGATACTTCGCGAGCAAATGGAGAGATACAACTCACGGATGAGGGAATTGGAGGAAAGACAGAGACTTTTCAAAGCGGCTCAAGAAAGACAGGCAGAAGCGGAAGCAGAGGTGAGTGTTTCACCGCTTTTTATATACACTCCGATATAATCTCTACAAACTGTGAACAAACTGACAGTTTGAGTATTGAAAGGCAAAACTATTTGTGTTTTTGTTGGACTTAATAGAGAGGCATAACTCGATTGTAAACATAATTGGCTGTAAGACAGAGCTATTGTCCATCTGTTTGCAGCTGGAAAAAGCAAAAGACATTTTCTAATTTGTTTCAAAAAACTTGTCAATGCGCACAATGTCAGCAAACACGCGACAAAACTTAACGAAAACCTTATGATTGCCTCGAAATACCGTTCTCCAGCTGTGCTGCCGGTGCTGTCGGCTCAGGCTTTGAGTGAACAGATACTGTGTTAGATGGTTGGCGCTGTTGGCGTGTGAAGAGCCTAATACTTATGTAATGTTAGTATCAATGATAGCAATGTTAGCTTATGATAGCACTTGTGATACACCTGACGCTCCTTTACCGGCCCCTCCAACACCGCTTCGATACTACCAAACCGTTTGCTTTCGTGGGAAAAGAAAGCAATGCTTTTGTGATTATGTTTTCAATACTTTGCCAAATAAAACGCAAACATATAATTGTATTTTCAATTCAAATACATTTTGTTATTTCTATTCACAAAACTTATGTTTTTCATGAGTTTCTGCACTTTCGTCAGAATTAGTGTAATATTCTGTGGATTCACTCAAATATTAAGCCTCTGTTCAATGCATTCATTTCAAGTGCAAGAGTATAGAGATATTGAGTTTGAAAACAATTTGAAAGCAAAGCAACCGAAGACACGATACGACACGCACTCAGCACTCGCTTCCCAACCAATATTTCCCACATTTTCAACAATTCATATAAAACTTACATTTTTATGTGTTTTATATGTGTTTTACCATATTTTCCATGTATTTGAGTTAATAGTATTAAACACTGAATAGTCTAACAAGTAATTATAATACAATTTTCCATTATTTGCGAAAAAGTATTACTATTTTTGAAACATTTTACTCAATAAATGGGAATAAATTGAGAGAATATGTTATTCAGTTTGCATCCCATCCCACGCACCACCGTATCGACAGTTTTCTCGAAAAAAGTTGGGATTTATCATAAAAATCCAAAATCCCTGGTCTTTTACTCCTAGTATTGGCTTTCATTTTACTATTCACAAGTATTTCATTTGTTTGACTTACAATACAGTAGTGTTTGTAATACGCGTCAAAGTGGATGAGAGAGAGAGAGAGAGAGAGAGAGAGACTGAGGAGAGGAGGGATTGGGAATGAGAGGAGGATTTGATGGAAATATTGTGCGAAATGAGCGGCGATTCTGCAAAAAACGAAGTGTTGGGAGAGTATAGAGAGTATAGAGTATTGATTGTACTGTAAGGGCACTGATATAAACATAGTGTCGAAGTAGTGATTACTCGTGAAGTAAAGGGGAAGTGAGTGGAGTCGGGGGCCAAATGAGGATAAATCTGTATTTTCACATTTAGCGACACACGACCTCTGCTGGTCGGCAACTGCCGGCGCTGTGGAGAGACACACGACTTGACAACAGAGTCTTGTTGTTAGCCATCATTTTAGGACTTATTAGTTTGTCATTCAATATAATTACGGGTTTTGTATAACAGCGTTAACTCAATCACAATATCTAATTGTAGGATAAAATTGTTACTCAAATACTGTTAACAATCAAATATTATACTAAAAGCGTTTTAATGCACGACTGATAATCAAAAGCTTAAAACATTTTCAATATATAATCCAATCGGAAATCATTTTTTCTTTCAAAGCCGTTAATGAAATACAAATCTAAATGTCAGCCAAAAAATGAATGAATGACTGAAACGAATAACACATATAATTAAAGACTAAAAAACTTAAGAGATTTAAAAATTCAAATTCTTATCAATTGTCTCACTGTTTGTAGAGTTTATATGATATGAAATATAATGAGAGTTGTCTAACAATTGGTTTATTTGTAATTTTATAGCTCCGAAAGAAACATCAAACAGAGTTGAGTCCAGAAAGAGCCGGTTCTGCCAGCAATTGACAATTACATGAGAAATATGTCATTTGTTAAGAATTGATGAAAATCACAATCAGATGACCCAATGGAGAAAATTAGTGGGAAGAGTACCGGTGCTAACCATACGAAGCGATAACGAGTTGAGAATATTCTTGTAGTGAATACTTAATCGCAATATTTATTTACAACAACAAAATCATTGGACTAAATATCTCTGAGATTGTGTTAAATGGAAATTGTATTATAGACACAAATTAATTGATTGTAAAACATTATGTGATATCTTCTATAAAAGTTTATTTCAATTTGAAAACTGTTAGCAAAAAAATTATGACATATATTCAGGTACTCACACATAGGCCATGAACTGGATGGACATGATATCGATCTCACATGAGTTCCTATTTTCAAATACAATACTTTTCATGACATTTCTTTTATATAAATATAGCTGCGATTAAAAGTCTTAAACTCTTAAAAGTCGTCAAAAAACACTTCTGTTTTCTATATTTCTTATAAAACTTAATATATTATATATAACTTAATATGTAAATTGAAATTAATGTATAAATATATATAAAATATAAATAATAAAAGTAAATTTAGTTGATTTATGATTATGTGATTTTTATTAAAATGTAATCAATTCTTATAAGAATGTGAATATAACTTATAATATATTGTTTTGCATTTACATCAATGATTTGGTTTAGTATTTCTTTGTTCACAATTATCAATTTATTCAATACCGTACATGTGTTCATTATAAACCAGCATAATTTAAATGATTTGTATTTAAACTAATGTTATAACTTATAAGTTAGTCTAAATGAATGAGATTTCTTTCTTTCGTATTTCGTTTTTAATATTATTTTTCTTACAGTTAAAAGTTTGTTTATTTATAAAAATTGTGAGTTTATATATTTGAGACAGATCAAAAAGTTATATTTTAAGAAGGAATTTGAGAAACAGTTTCTATTTTGGGGTTAATATACAGATTTTAAAATATGAGGCATGAATTGTATGGGTTTTGTCAGACAATTCTCAGCTGTTATTCAAATGAAAACTATTGTAATGAAGAGGCGTACAGTGGGTACAGTAGATCCAGTGTAGAGCCACTACACTATTTTGCACCCATATATGCAAATTAGGGGCTTTAGAGCTCATCCTATTGTATAAACCTTTCAACTTATTGACCGAAAGTTAAACTTCAATGCTTTCAAACTGTAAGCCTCTAAATGCAGGTGAATGTATGCAACTCGTATCCAACTGAATATAAATCCAATAATGAACACAAAGTATTTGGAAAAATCTTTTTTAAGAGAGGGTCGTCCTCATGAAAAATGACCGAAATTATAATGAAAGCAATTGTGAATCGCAGACCTGAATCTCAATCTCTTTAAGCATGAAATGATGCAGATGTCAGACATGTTTGCCACACAAGTCTCGAAAAAAGGATTCCTTAAGTCTAAGGAATAAAAACAAAAATAGTATAAGAAATCTAAGGGTAGACTCAAACCTGTGAACATAAAAAGAGTGCCACAAAAAGCGATTGTCAGCGCAATCACAATGATATCAATAGTATTGGTGCCAATGGTGTGCCAACCGGTGCTACTCTTTGGTATATCCCGGAGAGGAAGGTATGACTCAATAGTTATATATTCGATGAAATAATTAAATAGGAATTTATGCCGATTTGGGTTCAAATAAATCTATATTTTAAAGAAATGGTTGAATACAAGGGTTAACCTAAGGTTGGCGTATAGTTCGTGAGCATTGAATCGGACGAATGTCGTGAATAGAGCACGTGTGCCATCCCTGCCATCCCTACCATCACTGGGACTACTCATCCGGAATAACAGTCGCCTTTCGCTTCATTCTTCTCCAAATCACTTCCAAAACAACTAAAAACTCAAAATATATTTTATATTGTATTCATAGGGGTCTCAAAGAATTCACAATCAATTATATACTCTACTATAGACTGCTTTAAATTTGAATATGTATATTAAATTCTGTGCTTAATTTTATAGCTAAATTTAATTCTATCATGCAGCTAACTTTTCAAATATAATATTAAAAATTGCATTAATATAGTATATTTGTATTGTATAAATAGTAACATCTTATACTGTAGGTATTGAATTTCCATTATTTAACAATTGTTGTTTTTGAATTTAGTTTAAAGATTTTATGCATGTATGAAAATTATGTTTATTGTCATTTTAAATACTCAATTTTCAGTGATTACCCGGAAATAAGCCAATTGTAACTAATTTTATTTATTTTAAACTAATTGAGTTCAAAGACATTTGAGTATCTAAATTATTTGTACTTTGTTTTAAACATTCATTACTTGTTAATAAAAGTTATAACAAATGGTATTTCCATTTTTTATGACTTACACTCAAAGCGATAAAAAAATTTGTTTCACTAATGTTTTGACATTATGTGCATCACTCTATCAATTCATTTCATTAACTCATTAATGAATTTAAATTTAGATCCAAACAACACTTTCGGCGCTTCTGACTCTTAGGCTAAGATTTTTGTTGTAATTTATTTAACATTTATTTTTGTCATAAAACGACTCGAAATTTAATCATTAATTCTTGTTTTGTTTTACATTAATATTTGAGAACAGATACTGTATTCAAATAAAATACAACATAACCTGTATTTCTAGCACTCAGGCATAATATGAGGCATAATATGAGGCATAATATGAGGCATATTATGAGGAATATTATGAAGCGTTGGATGCATTGCTTAGAGTGAGTGTCAGGTCGACTGAACACAAGAATAATGCTTAATATTTGGCTCTAAACCA